ACAAGGGATGGGAGAATTGAGACCTCACAGGGCGTGCTAAGCCCAAAAGGGCCCAGGGTGGCCCTTGTTGCAGTGAGCAAAGGAATTGTTTCGAGGAGCAGTTAAGTTACGGGAAATAGCATCCTTCTCATTAAATTAATGTTTGCAATTCAAATTATACTGGTTTGGTTGCTTTGTTTGTATTTAATTTGCAAACTGATTTTGGCTTTATAGCTGCACAGGAGCTGTACACTTTAGGAACTTATACCTTGTTCTGTCATCATTGATGCCTTGTTTAATAGTTTTAAAACAGGCCGGGCGCGGTGGCTCTCGTCTGTAATCCTAGCACTTTGGGAGGCTGAGGTGTGTGGATCACCCGAGGTCAGGAGTTCAAGACCAGCCTGGCCATCATGGTGAAACCCCATCTTAAAAAAAAAAAAAAAAATAGTTTTAAAACAATTTAAGTCAACATTGGGGATCCAAAATAATTTTAATTTTTTTTCTTTTAAAAAAAGGCCATTAGCCCAGCATGGTGGCTCAAGTCTGTAATCCCAGCACTTTGGCAAGCTAAGGCGGGCATATCACTTGAGGTCAGGAGTTTGAGACCAGACTGGCCAACATAGTGAAACCCCGTCCCTACTAAAAATACAAAAAATTAGCCAGGTGGGATGGGGGGGGTACCTGTAATCCTAGCTACTTGGGAGGCTGAGAATCGCTTGAACCCAGGATGCAGAGGTTGCAGTGAGCCGAGATTGTGCCACTGCACTCCAGCCTGGGCGACAGAGTGAGACTCTATCTGGAAAAAAAAAAAAAGGGCCATCATTCCATGACTGGTGGGGGTCAGGGGAATCAAAGGATTCCCCTATGAAATGCTACGATGCTACAACCTTTTGGGAAAGTAACCTACCAGAAGGTTCTACACTGTAAGAAGTGAGTCCACAATAGCTAAATATTTACTGTGGTGTTGTTTGGAGGGGAGGGAAGAATCTGAATGCCCATCTGGGTTACAAATATATTTTATTTAGTCTGCAAGATATTTAAATATGTTTCAATGAGTTATCCAGTTGAAAAATAGATGGGGCTGGGTGCAGTGGCTCACACCTGTAATCCCACCACTCTGGGAGGCAAAGGTGGTTGGATCACCTGAGGTCAGGAGTTCAAGACCAGCCTAACCAATATAGTGAAACCTCATCTCTACCAAAACTATAAAAATTAGCCAGGTATGGTGGCACATGCCTGTAGTCCCAGCTACTCGGGTGGCTGAGGCGGGAGAATTGCTTGAACCCGGAAGCGGGAGGTTGAAGTGAGCCGAGATCGTGCCACTGTACTCCAGCCTGGGCAAGAGCCAGACTCCATCTCAAAAATGAATAAATAAATTAATAAAATTAAATTAATAGAAAAATAGCTGGATAGAGCAGTAGAGCATCACTATCCAGAAGCACTTCCTGTGCTACTAACCCTGCACTGCCCAATACTTCAGTCTCTAGCCACATACAGCAGCTGAACACAGAAATGCAGCTAACACCCCTGAGGAGCTAAACTCCTTACTTTATTTAAGTTTAGTTAAATTTAAATTTACTTATTTAGGCCGGGCGCGGTGGCTTGCGCCTGTAATCCCAGCACTTTGGGGGGCCGAGGCGGGTGGATCATGAGGTCAAGATATCGAGACCATCCTGGTCAATATAGTGAAACCCGGTCTCTACTAAAAATACAAAAAATTAGCTGGCATGGTGGCGTGTGCCTGTAATCCCAGCCACTCAGGAGGCTGAGGCAGGAGAATTGCCTGAACCCAGGAGGCGGAGGTTTTGGTGAGCCGAGATCGCGCCATTGCACTCCAGCCTGGGTAACAAGAGCGAAATTCCGTCTCAAATTAAAAAAAAAAAATTATTTATTTATTTACTTTGAGATAGAGTTTCACTCTGTCACCCTTGTTGGAGTGTAGTAGTTCGATCTCAGCTCACTACAACCTCTGCTTCTGGGGCTCAAGTGATTCTCCTGCCTCAGCTTCCTGAGTAGCTGGGATTACAGGTGCCCACCACCACACCCAGCTAATTTTTTTTTTTTTTTGAGACAGAGTTTTGCTCCTGTTACCCAGGCTGGAATGCAATGGCGTGATCTCAGCTCACTGCAACCTCCGCCTTCCAGGTTCAGGCAATTCTCCTGCCTCAGCCTCCTGAGTAGCTGGGATTACAGGCACACGCCACCACGCCCAGCTAATTTTTTGTATTTTTAGTAGAGACGTGCCCACCATGTTGACCAGGATGGTCTCTATCTCTTGACCTCGTGATCCACCCAACTCGGCCTCCCAAAGTGCTGGGATTACAGGCGTGAGCCACTGCGCCCGGCCCTTTTGTATTTTTAATAGAGACAGGGTTTCACCATGTTGGCCAGGCTAGTCTCGAACTTACCTCAGATGATCTGCCCTAACTCCTTACCTCAAATGATTCGACCACTTTGGCTTCCCAAAGTGCTGGGATTACAGGTGTGAGTCACCACGCCTGGCCAGTGAAATTTAAACAGGTACAAGTGACTAACGGCTATCACATCAGACACTGTAAATCTAGAGATAATCAAGTTAGGCTTTCTAACTTCTGTTTAAAAATCTGAAAGAAAAAAATCAGAAGATCTGTCAATGCTGAGTCCACATTCCTGCAAGGCAACAATTGGCTGGAGCTGAGAAGCTGCAGCTTTTAGATAGACAGGGTATGCAACTCTCCAGTTTGCCACAGACCCCACTGCTCCCTATTCTCTCACACTCTCACTGATCTCTATGCCCTGCCAGGCCTCTGGAGGCATCTGAGTGTGTGATGACCCTCCAAACTCAGGCTTAAATGTCACCTCCGCTATAGAGAACACTCCCAACATAACGAAGTCTGCGATGATTTCTCCTTCCTCTGAACCCTGATAAGCACTTGTGTAACAATCCACTTAACATGTATTCTAAATGATCTAGGAAGTTAATTATCTTTAGTTTTCCTACTTCCCCCAGACTCTGAGCTCTGGGATTGCTGGGACTCTTCCTTAGGTGTCTAAACCTCTCACAGTATCTTACCTAGCACAGAACTTTGATCACAGAAGGCTCTCAGAATCCTTTTCATTCATTAGTGACGGAGTTTCATTGTGCCACCTCTTTTCCTCTTTGAAAAGTTCCAACCACTGTTCTGCCACCATTCCCCCCACCTCCCGAGCACCACCTTCTCCCTTCTCTCTCTGTACCCATGTCACCAGGGAGAGGGACATCAAGTCTGAGTAACAGCAGGTGCTTGGGATTCGAGAGGAGAGAATTGCAGCTTTCACCCTAGCTATACAATTTTCTTTATTTTATATTATTTTTTGAGACGGGGTCTCGCTCTGTTGCCCAGGAGTGGAGTGGCATGATCTCGGTTTGCTGAACTTCTGCCTCTCAGGTTCAAGCAATTCTCCCAGCTCAGCCACCTGTGTAGCTGAGCTTACAGGCATGCGCCACCACGCATGGCTAATTTTTTTATTTTCAATAGAGATAGGGATTCGCCATGTTGGCCAGGCTGGCCTCAAACTCCTGCCTTCAAGCAATCCACCGGCCTCAGCTTCCCAAAGTGCTGGTATTACAGGCACAAGCCACTGTGCCTGGCCTACAATTTCCTTAATTTTCCCACTCCAAATATACATGTTAACATATATATATATGTGTGTGTATGTGTGTGTTTATGTGTATGTGTGTATATGTGTGTGCATGTGTATATTGTATGTGTATGTGTGTGTATATATGTGTATGTGTGTGAATGTGTGTGTATGTGTGTGCATGTGTATGTGTATATGTGTGTGTGTGTGTGTATACATATTTTTTTTTATCCCCCGAGTTGGAGTCTCGCTCTGTCACTGAGTGCAATGGTGTGATTGCAATGGTGTGCAATGGTGTGATCATGGCTCACTGCAGCCTCAACCTCTCAACATGAAGCAATCCTTCTGCTTCAGCCTCCTGAGTATCTGGTGTGCACCACCACACCTGGCTGATTTTTTATTTTCTTGCAGAGATGGGGGGGAGGGGTCTCACTCTGCGGCCCAGGCTGTTCTTGAACTCCAGGACTCAAGCAATCTTCCTACCTAGGCCTTGGAAAATGCTGGGATTACAGGCAAGAACCTTCTCCTTTCCTCTCCTCTCCTCTCTCTCCCCTCCCCTCCATTTCCCTCCTCTCTCCTCTCCTTTCTTCTTGATATAGGATCTCACTCTGTCTTAAATTATCAAATGTGTTGCTAGTATTTAAAAATCAGAAGGTTTCACCTATGGATAGTTTTCTGGCCTCTTCTCAAAGGAATTACAAGTTCTGGCAACACTGGCCTGGCATTTCCACTGGCTGGCAACACTTAGATGGGACATACAATCTTTGGTTCACCACAATTCTCACTTCTTCACTTTACTTGTGCCTTACCTGTAAGTATCTGAGTTGCTACCCTGAGCCAGGGAAGGAAGAACCGTTTTTTTGCAATAAACATCAGTAAAGAAACACACATCAAGCCGGTTGTAGTGGCTCATGTCTGTAATCCCAGCACTTTGGGAGGCTGAGGTGGGCCTGAGGTCGGGAGTTTGTGACCAGCCTGACCAACATGGAGAAATCCCATCTCTACTAAAAATACAAAATTAGCCAGGTGTGGTGGCGCATGCCTGTCGTCCCAGCTACTCAGGAGGCTGAAGCAGAAGAACCACTTGAACCCAGGAGGAGGAGGTTGCGGTGAGCCGAGACTGTGCCAAGACTCCAGCCTGGGCAACAAGAGCAAAAACTCCGTCAAAGCAAAAAGAAAGGAAGGAAGGAAGGAGAGAAAGAAAGAAACAAAACGCATCAATCTATGTCTTTACTCCTCCTAACAGGTCAACATGCACGATAAATAGCCCCTTTCCCTACCTGACTTCTCCAAAGCAGTAACTTGTATGGTCTCGCCATTAGTACAGACTTTGGGATTGCTTAGAAACCCTCTCGAGAAGGGACGAGATTTATCCAACAGCGCAGTGTGTCTTTGGTTAGGTGCAAAGGAAGGAAACTCACCAGAAGAGCAAGTGAGTGAATCTCCAGGGAACAGGAGGACCCAGTTTAGGCCCCACAGGGAGGGGGTTCAGGTGACAATCAGACCATTGGATATGTCCTCCCGGAACGCTGGGTAGTACATACAGGACCCAATTTCTTTTGCCCTGAAAGCAAGTGCTGGAAAGGAAGAAGGAGTCAGGACTTGGGTCCCAAAAGAAACAAGAACGCAGATGTGAAACTGGGGGAGAGCAACAGTTTTTGGAAGAAGACAGACAGCAATATCAACAGGGGAGAGCTGAGAGGGTAGAAAAGGTGTTTTTGGTAATAGGAAATAATTGTTCCTTCTTTCCTTATTTTTCCCCCTGGGAAGAGACCTAGAGAGTTTTTCTGGGGGAAGCTTAATTAGGGCAGAAATGGTGATAAAAGGGTATTTGCTGGGAAGGTGGGGGAAGGGGAGGAGGACTGGAAAAATAAATATCAGACAAGAGAGAAACTAGAAGGAATTAGTTGGTTTGTTCTAAGTGGAAAGATATTCCAAAAAGGGGGACGCTAGGTGTGAAGGAAAAAAGTTTGCGGGAAAGTGATCCCGAATGGATAAAAAAAAAAAACTGGATTTTTTTTTTTTTACTTTTTTTTTGCGCTAAAAGAAGTTTCTTAAAGGAGGGGGAGGGGCATGTCAAGAAAGAGAGGAGAAATTTGAGTTTTGCTGGAAGATCCTAAAAAAGAGACAAAGCTAGGTGCCCCAAAATGGGACTATGGAGGAGGAAGCGGGATTTTGAGCAGAAGGGGCCTGGAAGGGGCCAGCGAATGCAAGGCCGAGATGCAGAAGGTGCGGAGGTCGGGTAGGGCCCGCGGCGCGAGCTGGGCGGGGCTGCGAGGGGGCAGTTGAGGCCTGGGGGGACGGAGTGAGAAGGAAAAGCGGGTGCAGCGGGCCAGGGGCTTCTAAGGAAGGTCTTCTCCAAGGGGGAAGGGACTGCGGGGTGCAGCGGGGCCCGGAGCTGTTGGGGTGCAGAGTGCGTGCGTGACGCAGGGCGAGGGGCGCCCGCCGCGCCTGTTGCGTCCCTCAAAAGGGAGATGGGGCCCCCCCAAAAAAGAAATCAAGAAAACGAATGAGATTGTAAAAAAAGGGGGAGGGTTTGAAAAAAGGGTAAAGAATGGGAATGGGGGATAGGGAGGAAAGGGAGGGCAGGGGCAGCAGGAACCGGGTTTTACCCGCCCCGGGGGCTCGCGCGCCTCGCCTCGCGCCTTGCGCCTCGTGGGGCTCCCAGCGGCCTCCTGCCTTCCCCTCGCCGCCTGCCCGGCGCGCACGCGCAGCCCGGCCCACCCCCGGAGCTCCTCGCTCACGCGCGGCGCGGGCGCGCGTACGTGACCGCGGGCTGCCCGGCGCCTCCTAGAGCGGACTCGCGCCCGCCGCGCGACGCCCGGGTTCCCGGCGCGTGCCGCCCAGACGCGCGCTCTCGAGGGCTCCTCCGGGGGGCGGGGCCAAGGAGGGGGCGGGGCTTGCCGCGGGAGGGAAAGGAGGCGGTTGGTGGCCATTTTGGGAGGAGGGCGGTTGAGGGCAGAGAGTGGGAAGAGGGAGCAAGGTAGGGGTGGTGGGGGGAGGGGCCGGTCCCCCAGGACCCGCACCCTGAGGTCGAGAGTCCGGCTCCGCTCTGCTCCGGCCATTGTTCCTGGCGGGCGGCGTTAGAACGCGGTGGCGGCCGCGGGGTGGGTGCGTCCATCCCCCGGAGGGCTTCTCTGAGCAGCGTCCTGGTGCTGGGGAGGCCGCACCGTCTGTTTCCGGGAGTCTGTCGCGAGCGCTGGAGGCTCTTGGGGCCTCTTCTGCCCCCGGGTGGGTGGGGGAGATGTGGGGCGAGCTGCTCCTTCCTTTCTTTTTTAAATTTTATTTTCAGAGACAGGGTCTCTCCTTGTCCCCCCGGCTGCGATCACGGCTCGCCGCACCCTCCCCTTCCCGGGGCTCCAGCGATCCTCCTGCCCCTGTCTCCCAAAACCCTGGGATTACAGGTGACAGCCACCGCGTCCGGCCTGTTCCTCCCTTCTTTGGGGAAAGGCTGAGGCGTCGGGCCCCTATGTTTGGAAGGGCGGTGAGCCCCGGTGCTGACTGGCCAACAAGTGTCTTTCTTTTCTTTCTTCCTTTTTTTCTTTTCCTTTGTTTTTAGACAGGGTCTTGTTCTGTCGCCCCCGCTGGAGTGCAATGGCGCGATCTTGGCTCACTGCAACCTCCGCCTCCCAGGTTCAAGCAGTTCTCCTGCCTCAGCCTCCTGAGTAGCTGGGACTACAGGCATGCGTCACCACGCCCGGCTAATTTTCTGTATTTTTAGTAGAGAAGGGGTTTCACCATGTTGACGAGGGTGGTCTTGAATTCCTGACCTCAGATGATCCGCCGGCTTCGGCCTCCCAAAGTGCTGGGATTACAGGCGTGAGCCACCGTGCCAGGCCTGGCCAAGGAGCTTGCACTGTCTTACAATTGAGGCAGAGAATTCATTCCTTAGAAACAGAGCGCTGGCGGGTCGTGGTGGCTCTCGGTGGCCAACCACTGCACTCCGCGACTTCGTCAAAAGAAAAAAAAGAACGGAGTGCCGAAGATCTGTGGAGAATGAGAGCAGATTCGTGGTTGCCTGGGGTGGAAAAGGGGCATGGCAGATCTTATCTGGGTGATGGAAATACTTTAAAACTGGGCTATGGGTCAGGCATGGTGGCTCACACCTGTAATCCCAGCTCTTTGGGAGTCTAAGGTAGGAAGACCCCTTGAGCCCAGGAGTTTGAGACCAACCTGGGAAACGTAGTGAGACCCCCATATAGTAAAAAAAAAAAAAAAAAATTAACTGGAGATGGTGGCATGTGCCTGAAGTCCCAGCTGCTTGGGAGGCTGAGGCAGGAGGATCGATTGAGCCCAGGAGTCCGAGGCTGCAGTGAGCTGTATGGTCAGGCCACTGCACCCCAGCCTGGGGGACAGAGCGAGACTCTGGTGGGGGGGGAACAAAGCGTTGTGGTGATGGTTGCACAACTCAATACATTTCTAAAAATCATTAAGTATACACTTGAGTGACTTTTATGTAAATTATACCTCAAAGTTTTAAAAAATTGATTATTAGGGGAGGAAAGAGGAAAGAAGAGGGATTAGCATCTTGCTTTCGGATCCCTTCATTTAGCAAGCTTTTATTGGGTCTCTGTTCTGGGTGCTCAGATTCAGTCAGATGCAGTGTCTGGGTCAAACAGACATCCCTCTCCTCCTGAAGTGTATGTTTTAGAGCAGTGCCGTTCAGTAGAAATAAAATGCAGACTACGAGCACCAGCCACATATGTAATTTTACATTTTCTAGTAGCCATGTTTAAAAAAACAAAATGTAAAGAAAGCAGGTGCGGTGGCTGGCACTTGTAGTCCAGCTACTTGTGAGGCTGAGGTAGGAGGGTCACCTGAACCCAAGAGTTGGAGACTGCAGTGAGCTGTGGCCCAGCCTGGGCAACACAGTAGGACCTACTCTCTTAAAAAAGGTCGGGGTGGTGGGGGTGGTTCACACCTGTAATCTCAACACTTTGAGAGGCTGAGGCAGGAGGATTGCTTGAGTTCAGGAGGTCAAGACCAACCTGGGCAAGACACCCAGACCTAAAAATCAAATAGTAATATCAAATAAAGAAAATTGAATAATAAAATCAAATAAAAGTGAAAGAAACAGGGGAAATTGATTTGGTAATATTTAATCCCAAATATTTCAACAGGTTATCAATATAAACACTTTTTAAAAGATAATAGGTTGGGTGCGGTGGCTCACGCCTGTAATCCCAGCACTTTAGGAGGCCGAGATGGGTGGATCACGAGGTCAGGTGTTCAAGACCAGCCTGACCAACATGCCTAAAATACAAAAATTAGCTGGGCGTGGTGGTGCACACCTGTAAACCCAGCTACTCCGGAGGCTGAGGCAGGAGAATCACTTGAACCTGGGAGGTGGAGGTTGCAGTGAGCCAAGATCGTGCCACTGCACTCCAGTCTGGGTGACAGAGCAAGACTCCATCTGAAAGAAAATAAAAGATAATTTATACTTTTGGGGCGCTCTTTTAAACCCCGTGTATACAGTATTTTACATTCACAGGACATCTCAATTCAGACCAGCCACATTTCCAGGGCTCCGTGGGCACTTGTAGCTAGTGGCTCTGGTCCTATACAGCATACCTCCACAGGGGGACAAGCAAATGCATTTACTTTTGTTGTTGTATTTTTCTGAGACAGAGTCTCGCTCTGTCACCTAGGCTGAAGTGTTGCAGTCATGGTTTGCTGCGGCCTTGACTTCCTGGGCCCAAGCTATTATCCCACCTCAGCCTCCCGAGTAGCTGTGACTACAGGCACGTGCCACCACGCCCGGCTAACTTTTTGTATTTTTAGTAGAGACAGGGTTTCGCCGTGTTGGTCAGGCTGGTGTCAAACTCCTGGGCTCAAGCAGTCTTTCTGCCTTGGCTTCCCAACGTGCTGGGATTACAGGAGTGAGTCACCGTGCCTGGCTGCAAATACATTTATAATGCAGTATGTTGTACCTGAAGAAAAACAAAGGAAAGAAGATAGGGTCAGGGGGTATTGTGTTATATAGATTGGTAAACGCTTCTCTGGTGAGACTGCACTGAGCAGAAATCTGAAGGAAATAATGAAGGGGCCTATGAAACTCTGAAGGAAGAGGAGAGGGAACAGAAAGTGCAAAGGCACTGAGGCAGGAAGATGTGGGACCCTTTTGAAAGGCAGCAGGGAGGCCAGGCATGATGGCTTATGCTTGTGATCCCAACACTTTAGGAGGCCAAGGTGGGTGGATCACTTGAGCCCAGGAGTTCAAGACTAGCCCACCAACATGGTGAAACCCCATCTCTAATAAAAATACAAAAAATTAGCCAGGCATGGTGGTACATGCCTATAGTCCCAGCTACTCGTGAAGCTGAAGTAGGAGAATCACTTGAACTCAGGAGGTAGAGGTTGCAGTGAGCAGAGATGGCGCCATTGCACTTTATCCTTGGTGACAGAGTGAGACTGTCTCAAAAAGAAGAGAGACCAGTGCCGTTAGAATCACGAGAGTAAAGAAACTAGGGGCAGATGGTGTAGAGTCTTCCAAGTCATGCTAAGGCAGGAATTAAACACCTAGAAACAATTTCAGAGGGATTCTTCCTTTATTTAGCACACACCTTTTTTTTTGTTATTGTTGTTTTGTTTTGTTTCTTTTATTTTCTTTCTATTTTTTTGCGATAGAGTCTCACTCTGTTGCTCAGGCTGGAGTGCAGTGGTGAGATCTTGGCTCAATGCAACCTCCGTCTCCTGGGTTCAAGCCATTCTCCTGCCTCAGCCTCCCGAGTAGCTGGGACTACAGGAGCACACCACCACGCCCGGCTAATTTTTTGTATTTTTAGTAGAGATGGGGTTTCACTGTGTTAGGCAGGATGGTCTCGATCACCTGATCTCGTGATCTGCCCGCCTTGGCCTCCCAAAGTACCGGTATTACAGGAGTGAGCCACCGCGCCCAGCCTTCTTTTCTTTTCTTTTTTCATTTATTTAGCACACATTTATAAAAAAATACTTTATTTCAGTCATGTAATTTTTCTTCTTGATGGAGGAAATAAGGACCCTAGCCACTGGACAGATGAGAACTTGGTTTAAAAACAGGATTTAACTCCTGAAATAAAGTAGGATCTCTGTCACTGATAAACATTGAACACTTTAAGGACAAAGAAGATAAATGAACACATAAAGAATTACCATTGGTCGGGTGTGCCTGTAATCCCAGCACTTTGGGAGGCCGAGGCGGGTGGAGCGCTTGAGATCAGGAGTTCAAGACCAGCCTGGCCAACCCGGAGAAACCCCATCTCCACTAAAAATACAAAAAGTAACCAGGTGTGGAGGTGCACGCTTTAATCCCAGCTACGCAGGAAGTTGAGACAGGAGAATTGCTTAAGTCTGGGAGGTCGAGTCTGCGGTAAGTTGAGATTGCACCACTGCACTCCAGCCTAAGCGACAGACTCTATCTCAAAAAAAAAAAAAAAAAAAAAAAAAAAAAAAAAAAAATAGCATTTAGAATTTATTTAAAAGGCCTACAAATGAAGGTGACAACCTAATAATAAAAACAGTATAAGGTTAAATGGGAACTAGCCACAATAACGAGGGAATGCAAATTAACCAAAGACACCATGGCACACCCACCAATCTGGCCAATTTTTAAATTTTTTTTCTGTAGAAAGAGGAACTCATACAGTACTAGTAACGGGAAAAATTGGTACAAATGGCTGGGCGCAGTGGTATGCACCTGTAATCCCAGCAATTTGGGAGGCCAAGGCAAGCAGATCACCTGAGGCCATGAGTTCGAGACCAGCCTGGCAATCATGGAGAAACCCCATCTCTACTAAATTACAAAAAATTAGCTGGGCATGATGGCAGGTGCCTGTAATCCCAGCTA